TTTTTTTTTTTTTTTTTTTTTTTTTGTATAATATCAAATTCCAACATAACCTTGTTGCCCGGTCAACTGAAATTTACTATGTTCGACCTAGTTGAGGTCCAAGTCACAAAAATAATTAACCATGCATCCGGCCGGCCCAAGTCTTTTTATAGTAAGATAAAGCCACAAGTTAATAGTGCTTATTACATGTCATACAGACACAGGGACACGAGAGTTGACATGGTGCCCTTAGGATCAATTGTTGTCGGTATTAAAATAATACTTCATTATAAATTAATTTTTAGTTGTTAATTTTAGAATATTATCTAAACCATGTAGACAAAAAAATGTCACAAAAAAATTTATTAGGGTCCATGTAGTTCTTTAGGATGATTGGTCTCTATGTGCAAAAATTTATTCAACTAATCCCTATGCATGTAAATGTTACTAGTTTAGTTCTTATTGTCATGTGTTGACCTTTAAGCCCTTTACATTTTTTTTAATTTGGTCTCTATAAGTTTATACATATAGTGCATTCTTAATTTAGTTCACATATGTGTAGTATATTATTATTTTAGTTCTTATGTATAGAGATTAAACTAAAAATGTTTTACGTACGTTTATAGAAACTAAAACCAGTAGACCGAATGAATAAGATTTTGTGTAGAACTAAATTGAGAATCCACGAGTCATGACTAAATTAATAATATGTTTAACCTAATTTATCCATTGTTCAATTTTAAGCATCGTACTGTGATAAAAAACAAAAAATGCAGGATGGTGTCACAAAAACGGGGTGTTGCTCTTAGTGTACGATTACATGCCAAATGGAAGCTTAGACAACCACATATTCTGCGAGGAAGGGAGCAGCAGCAGCAGCAGCACGCCACTAAGTTGGCATCTAAGGTACAAGATCATAACAGGTGTGGCTTCAGCATTGAACTACCTCCACAACGAGTACGATCAGAAAGTGGTCCACAGAGACCTGAAAGCCAGCAACATCATGCTGGACTCAGACTTCAATGCTCGTTTGGGCGACTTCGGCTTGGCTCGAGCACTGGAGAATGACAAAACATCGTACGCAGAGTTAGAAGGAGTGCATGGCACAATGGGGTACATTGCACCCGAGTGCTTCCACACGGGCAGAGCCACACGTGAGTCAGATGTTTACGGGTTCGGAGCAGTGCTCCTTGAGGTGGTGTGTGGTCAAAGACCATGGACAAAGAACGAGGGCTATGAGTGCTTGGTGGATTGGGTGTGGCACCTGCATCGCGAGCAAAGGATACTGGATGCAGTGGATCCCAGACTTGGGAATGAGTGTGTGGTGGAAGAGGCAGAGAGGGTTCTGAAACTAGGACTAGCATGCTCTCACCCTGTTGCGAGTGAGAGGCCTAAGATGCAAAGCATTGTTCAGATACTATCTGGGTCAGTGCATGTGCCTCATGTGCCACCTTTCAAGCCAGCGTTCGTGTGGCCAGCGGTGGATCTTTCAAGCCTTGCAAGTGACCTTACGGCTTCCACTACAACTACTGAGTACACTCCCATGAACAGTAACACACATTCTATACGTGTTGAATTCTCTGATACCAGTTCTCCCGTCTCAACTAAACACACCATGCATTAATTATTCCCTACTCCTGTCTCTATGTTGCTCACACCTAGCTCACCCATTCCACGTCGTTCAATTATGAAGATAATTTCTTCCAACTTCATTTAATGTATCAGGTATAGATATTCCCTTCTACTTTATTTTTTCTTCCTCTAATTTTTATTGGAAAGGAATGAAATCGGGGTGCATCTTTGTAAATTTTGATTTAACAAGATATTTTTTGTAATTGTTTTAGCATTCTTATGGGTTTTGTTAAATCATGTTTTTGTTTCTCTAAAATATTTCGGATTTGTATCAGCTTCCATTAATTTTCTTTTGTGCTTATGGGATTCTTAAAAATCAGAGATCGTATTCAAAAGTTTCTGATATTTAGAGAGATCAGAAAGTAAATATTAATCAACACTTGTCAGACAACAATAATTAGAACAGCAATAACAATATAGTTTTATCTCAAATTGCCTGATGATGTTTTGTGGCTTACTTATGTTGATATGGCTTCTAGAGTAACTACTAATGGTAGAAGATGGAAATAATATATATAAAATTTATACTTTCTAAAGTGTTTATGTTAATAATTCAACTAATTTATTTGAGTTAAGTTAATACGTCCTTAATTTATATCGACCTTTATAAAATAAAGACAAGTTTTATAAGCCAGTTCGTATAAGACAAGTTTTTTTGTTTTCGGTGAAAAAATTATAATAAAGCATCAAGATTAAACATATGATCTTTTACTTTTTCAAATATAGGCTAAACTCAAACCTTACAAAATTTGACATTACTCCACTCAGCTTCATCTCTAATGATCATAAATAGAGTTGACAAAAGATTATACAAAAATGAAACAATTTTATAATGGATAAATTTAATCTTATAAAAATAGTGAAATCAGACATAATTGTGATATTTTAAAGAAAGAAAACATAATTTAATCAAATTTAATTTTTCTTTTAAATTTTAATGACAAGAAAGTTGCACAAATTGCTGGAGTACACGCCCCAATTGGCATACATTCAGTGAGGTCGACCATACTTGAAATTGACAAGAATTAAGCCAACATTTAAATACTCATTAAAACTTTTTGTCCGCTGGCTTGGCTTTAGTATTTTAAAAAATTCACTAAAACATATTAAAATCTTTAATATTGCACAACGTCCAGTACGTACTTACGTAGTTGAGAATATGAAGATCCGATCCATTGCAACTTGGCCTATTTGCAATCACTAGTCATTACTCAGCGTAACAGCTGCAGGGCTTCACTATAATCTTTAAAAATAAAAGTCCACCAATTCCGCTGGGGCCTCAACATTCCTATTCCTTAGTGACATCATAAATGCAGCAATTGAAAAACCTTCCATTTGCTCCACATCTGCATACATTAATTTATTATATGTTCCAATATAGCACGTTCACATTTACAAATTAATGCCTAGTACATATCCATGTTTATTATTATATGATTTTATCTAAATTTAAGGCTCAGTGTTTTACTGGTTATTGATATACTAAGACGAGCAACGTCTGCAAGATCGACATGGAGGGATTGGCACAAACGAGCCAGAAGTGTTGATCACTTGAAAACCAACCACCAACATTTTCATCTCTTGAACAAACCCTGAATCTGGGTCTATTTCAACTCCAGTGGACCTTACCCTATGGCTTCTGGGGTCAAGTTATATTGGTTTGTTAAATTTAAACTCCTCCAAATCAGCATCTTCTATATATATGTCCTATGCCAAGAAATTCAGCCATGTTTTGTCCTATGATTAATACTGCCAAACCGTGAATTGCTTGGCCATATGACTCCATTATTTGCCTAGTAGGCTAGTACTATTCCAAATCAACCGTTGGCGTTCACAGAAAAGACAATAATACAAGTTGTATACGTATCATAATAAGGATCTCATTAAAAAGAAAAATTAAGTTTTAAAATATTTCAATTATGAATATAAATAAAAAGACCTCATATTTTTTTAATCTTAAATTAAGTAAAATTCAACTAATTTCACTCATTTTAATGTGGTTATCTTTAACATATATTTTCATTTAATTGAGATTGTATTTTTAATGTCTCTTTTTATTTTTAATATTAAGTTTCAAGATAGTTTAGGAAAATAAGTTATTTTTTTTATATGAGATTAACAAAATTAAATGATGTCAACAATCTTTATTAACTAGCATAAATGATTTTTTTTATGCTTATGTTCAGAACCGACGGAAATAAATTTCAGGTTATCTTTTCAATGTAGTATTAATTATTTCTTTTTCATTTATATCCCTAATAGTATTATGTAGAAAGTAATTCTTGTGTTGTATTATTTCTAACAAAGAAATTAATCATGAGATTAATTTTATAAAATTATTGTTTCCTTTTAACTATTTACTCACTATGTTCTTTATTGTAAGCCAAGAAATTTGATTTTAAGCTTATTAAAAATTGTTGATTATTTATAATAAAAATTATTATTTTTATAAGATTTTTCCTACATTATCCTTATTATAAATATCAAAAGAAATTATGCTACTGAAAAGTCATATATTAAACAATATGATATGTTAGAGAAAATGAAAAAGTACTTAAACTTATTTATATTTAAGAAAAAAAAATATACGTTTTTTTTCTTATAATAAAAAACCAGAAAAAATATTATTTTTTCTTAATTTATGTAAATTAACCAAAAACTACGTAATAACATGAAAATCATGAATCTTAAATATAGAATGATGGATCCACCTGTTGCACCTTCTGCAGTGTAATTATTTATTTAAAGAAATTTTAGTGTCTGAATATTTATGTAACAAGTTTGACTATAATTATTATAAAAAATTTATAAATTTAAATAAGTTTTTTTACGCGGCTCTTTAAGACACCTCCTAAATCAATGATTGATATATATATATA